CCGACGCTGCTGTCGCCACTGGTAACCAAGGGAGACTGCGGCCTATTTTTCGAATGTGAGCCTCTGCCTATAATTATTATTATTATCAACTTGTCTCGATTATATGTATAATATATTCGATAACTTTTACTTTTCTGGCTGTTATATATAAGGGCTGTTATAGAGGGAAGGTGTATAGCGATCGGTCAAAAAATGTTCCTTCCCAAATTTTTACATTTTTGGACTCAGGACAACTTGAAATTTCGAGATATGCAAAAGATTCAAGATTTTCATTTATATGCCTGGATGTTAGACCGTGTATGTGGGGCATGATTTCGTTCACTCTGTTTGAAGCCTAATAATTTCTGTGGTCAGAGTGGTTGGAATCGGAGTCAGATGGTTTAACACAGGAGTTAATTATTAAGCATCATAGTAGTTGAACTGAATCGTTTCTCCATATACGTTCTAACATCTTAGGCGAGAACATCTTAACGGGTTTTACTGTACTATTATAAAATGACAAAAAAGTTACTTTGAAGGTAGAGACAAATTTTATTTTTTTTTTTAAATTTTGTACGCTAATAACGAGTAAAATTTTCATTAAGAGATATGTCACATGACCACTTTTATGTCTTCACTCTGTCGACCTTTAACTTCAAGAACCAAAATTTAATAGTATGAATGCCCCTTTATACACAAGAAACAGTGCCACATTTCGTTTCTTAAACTTTACCCATTCTGAGATATTGTTTAATATCTCAGGACAGAAAATAAAGAAGTTAAACAAATTAGACGCCAACACATACACACACAAGAATTTTTCCTCTGAGTTTTTATTGACTTTTTGAGGAATTTGAGAGGTCTCCAAACGTGTAGATTTGCAAAAAAATCCTGGAAGGTCAAATTTGACACGATTCCAATACTTTTCCGTTTTATATACATAAGAAGTTAAGTAAAAAAGGAGTCGGAGTCAGCGGATTTTTTGACGACTCCGACTCCACAGCCCTGGTCATAACATGCATTATTTGTTCATTGTTACATCAAATCGTGTTACTAATAGTCCTTATTACTAAAAAATATCGCTGTTTGTATCACTTTATATGAAAACTTTTCGCCTAGATTGGACAGCAGACCTTTACAAGTAGTGGTCAGCAAACACAAAATAGTATCCAAGCCTGACAGAATTCGCTAAGATTTATCTATCATCTCCCAGCAGTAGTGTATATAATGAGAGGCTATTTTCAGAAGCAGGTATAGTTTATGAGGAAAAGTGCAGTCATTTGCTATCAACAAATGCTGAAAAAATTTTCATTCATCACAACTTACCACTGATAGATTTTAAGTATTAAACGTAACAATTTGAGATTAAAATAAATACGCTTTTGAGTAATATGTGCATTTTTTTTTTTTTTTTTTATGATTTGGTATTCGGTATTCAGCCGAATGTTGCATACTATTCAGCTGAATACCGAATATTAAAAAAAGTAGCCGAATAGGCCAAATACCGAATAGTAGCCGAATATTCATGGCATCTCTACTACAAAGCACTGGTGAAATTTGCCACTGAATAAAAATTTTAGACCGAGCTCCTAGGCAATCTCATCAGCCAGACTTCATATTATAGGTCCAGATCTCGCACAGACGGACCTCATGGCCAGGGTACTCACTCTTCGCTGTGTTCTTGTTCTGCAATGTGCCACCTAGTCAACTTCCATCATTAGTGTAGTGACTGGATGTTATGCACGGTTCTAATTGTATTCATCCACTAATTGTCATGGGATAGTGTCCAGCACATTTCTAACGTGTAATTCCATTTTCTATACATCATACTCTTGTTCAGTTTGACCATCCATCCCATGTCATGTATTGTCGTGTTATTTTATTCACCACTGGTTTTATGTCAACTTTCATTCACTATGTAATAAAATCATTGCTCAGTCCTGTGCAGCTATGCCAATCCAACACATCTTCTGTCGCAAGAGGACTGTTCAGCTCTGTATTACTCTGTCATTTTGTAAATATCACTTTTCTGATCTATGTAAACCTTGGGCTTTACAGGCCAACAATTGTTGCGCCAAATAATGTGTATTGTATTTGTATACACTGTCATTTTTAACAACTGTTTGTAAATATTTTTGAATTTCTTTAATAAATGCGATGCAGGTGCTTATGAGACCCTAACACTCTTCCCACTATCCTTTCACTTTATTTCTCCTTCATTCTAACTTTTTCATAAACCTTTATCTCTTCTTTCTGCTTCTGGCTTTAGGGCTATACTGTTGAGTATACTGTGGGTTCTTATTCACCTTAACAATGGTAAATAGTACCATTGAACTTAAAATCAGTCTTAACACATGAGATGGGCCACCTCGAGTATCTCTTGGTGTAGCATATGGTCTTGAACTGTATTAAATAAAAAATCTCTACAGTGTATATATTGTATACCGCTGTTGATGAACAAATAGAATACACTCCGTCCTGGCAATTCCAGTTGACCTGAAGAAGAGTGAAGAGATTGTTCGAAAATGTTTGTCAACAGCGGTATACAATATATACGTGCCATGAAGTAATTAATAGCATTGTAATTGTATAGATCCCTAAGCCTATTAACCTCAACCTGGTTTGGATGCCATTCTAAGACTGTTGTTCTGACATCCTCCCACTTCTTCAAAGTATCTTTAATAACAGATATCACCATTAATCCTCTTTTTCATATTTCTCCAAGTTTGTTGGTGTTCTTCATTCAAGGGTTCTTGGCATTCTTCTGTTGTCAGATCTGATTCAGGTTCCATTACGAACTCTTTGATGTTCTTTATTTCTCAGATGTTATTTTTGTTACTCCTTTAGCTGCTTGAGTCTTCTTGATTATATAGTATGTTTCTTAAATAAGATTGAACTGAGACCTACTGTAGACCTGTTCACGCCATATAACATTAGGCATCTTCTGCCCACTCTCTACCTTTGCTATTATACTCTCACCTTTTGAAAAGAAAAACAGATGCAAAACTTAACGAGTGCCCGTCCGACAGTCTTGGGAATACACAAAAGAATTGTTTTGTCAGAAAAATAAAAGGCTGGAATTACAAGGGAGAGTTTCAAAGTTCAGAGGAATACTATCCAATCGGTATATACTGGCTTGAGCGTTGATGTCAACGTCTCCCACACTCTGAAAAGTTTCGAATTGTTGCCCAAAGACAATGGAAGACCAATCGGTATTCATTATTTTATGTCACTTCTTCTTGTGTTTGTTCTGTGGGGTGTTCGTTATCCGATCATGTGTTTGTTGTCCGAACATAAAAGTCTTTCGCGAAAGTGTTCGTTATCCGATCTGTTCGTTAACCAATCACCCACTGTATATTATTCTAAATAAAAGTGAAATAAATTAATTTTTTTCAGAGCTAAAGTGAATGAACTATTAGTTTTAATGTATATTTATTAATTATGATCTTACATCACTTATATTTTGATATAAAATGTAATAAAATTATATAATTTTATCACTTTCAAATATCATGAAAGTGTTCATGAAAGTTTCATGTTTTCATATTTCAAATATTTTCAAATTTGAAGTATGAAAACTAGATCAATTAAATTAATAATAAATATATTTATTATGACTGCTGTTTTTTCTTATTCTCATTGACTCAAAGTTTTATTGTATAACATAATAATCTGTAAGAAGATTATTTCAAGGGTAAAAAGATTTACACTTGAAATATTAACTTAAAAATACTCAAATAAAGTGTGTACTTAGATATTATCTGTTCCACTCAGATCCATGAGAAACCCACTTCTACTGTCACAAAGTATTTACACTTTATTTAGTTATATATATTCAGTTGCCAGTTACACATTGAAGCTCTCAACTTTGAATTCCATAGTCAGAATCCATGTTTGATGCAAGTCCATGACTTAGGCTGCTTTCTCACTAACAAGTCTTTGACTCAACTTGTCTCTCAGGCTGCTTGAGATCTCACTTCTCTCGCTCAATGGAGCTTCCTTATTAAGACAACTGGGAAGAGTCCTTGACTTATTTATCTCTTTGAACAAACAAGATCTCTTAAACTCTCTCTGGCCAAAAATTTCCAGTTTTCCTCTTTTATTCCTCTTGACCATCAGATGAAACAATCCAAGTCCTGGACAGATGACATGGGATCAAAGGGATAATTATTGTCCCAAAGTTAAAGATGCTGGCACTGTTGCTGCTCTCCACTTTATGGCAGGAGACATTTTCAAGGGCCAAAAAAAAAGTCCAATAAAATATTGGTTTGCTCTTTGTTTTGCTAAGCATAATGATTTATAACGTTAGACCTAGCTAACTATTATCAAAAAAAAAAAAAAATCAGACAGCCAGACCAAGATTAAACTCTCAATCTTGACAAAAAATATAAATTAACTTTATGTAATACAGTAGAGCGTCATTTATCCGAATCATTTGGGGACTGTGGTTGTTCGGATAACCAATTATGTATGAAAAAATATATTAACCTATCCCATTTTTCTCCGTTTCATGTCGCTTCGCATTGAATTTTCGTCAATGTTAAACCTAATGAAAATTTTTATAATAATAATCATGACTATTGTATCATTAAAAATTATTTCTTTATTTTGTACAAACAAAATAAATATATTGAAAAATATAAAAAACAAAAAAAAATTATACTTTAGACATTAATCTACTATCAAAAACGTTCGATTGAGCACGATACACATTCCGACACAGTCCTCAGAAAAACACCACACAAAAGTGCCAGTGCTGCCAGCTAAAACACATACATCAAAAAAAATATTGGAGTAGCCCAAGTGATAATAAATTTACAAGTGATAATAAAAATTTGCTGACTGGAATACTTTCGGATAACCGACTTTTGGATAAACGACGCTCTACTATAATTACAAATTATACATAGTTAATGCTCTTAGGAAATCACATTATAGAAATTTATTTAAAAATTAAATTTATATCATAAATTTTTCATCAAATGTACTATATATTATTAAAAAAAAATTTTTTTTTTCAGTGGAGAGGAGGAGGTTGAAAATGATAACTTAAATTCTGAAGAATCATCCACTACAGCTGGAATTAAAAAAAGGAAATCCAAAAAGAAGGATGATAGTGACAAGTATTTAACTATAAATTTTTATTAATAAATTTAAAAGTTATTTTGATAACAATACAGTTATATTTACATAATTATGTACTTACACAGATATCCCTAGCTTAACATTGCTTTGCTTAATGTGGAATTTGATTAATGCACAAAATTAATTCTGGAAATCCCTTTATATATGCAATGGAAATTTTAATATGGCTTTAGCAGCTGTCTTTACTTAACATAGATATGTTTTTTCAGCAAATAAGGTGTTGGTGAATTTATTGTTTTCTTGCTGAGGGTGATTTCTGATGTAGATATATAGTTAATTATAATAGTTTTGAAATTTTAGCACATTACTTCTAATGTGATATTGTGTTCTTTGTTTAGAAGCTTATTTTAAAACTTGCTTCATATATGTTTGTGTAAAATCAAATCAAATGTCTTCAGATTAAATGGATATAAGTCCATTTTATGTATGCTTTTTAAGTTTCATAGAAGATATAATGCTATACAAAATGCTATACAAGATATAATGCTATACTCATAATGTGAATGGGGAAGATACTCCTAAACATCAGATATGTCAAATGTGGTTTTGAAAGTTTTGTTTAGGATATTTTGAACTAAAAGATGCAGTTTTTGGGTGCTCAATACATTTTGTATAGTGCATCCAAATGCTGTTGAACAGAATTTTCAAAAAGAAATTTTAAAAATCAACAAACAGCAACTCATGAACTTGCAACAAGTCTTCATATGTCACCAACATGATGATTGTGTTCCACAAGCATTAATTAAGTGGGGAAAAAAACAAACTGAATCAAGTATAATTTTGTCTGACAAAAATTTAGTAGCTCTATTGTTTCATTTTATTTTGGAATTAGTTAACATTTTTATCATAGAAAACTTGTCTTACAGATGACAAAATAAAAATAAAAATATTTGTTCTAGTGAGTGGTGATTGTTCAGTTGAGTACTGAGATACCACTGTATTCAATTAATGCAGTTTTGAGATACATAATAGCATTGAGGGGTTAATTAATTGCTTTAATCAAGGGATACCTGTAGTATAACTAACTGTCTAAATAGCTAATAAGACACTCACAATCTTTTTTAAGCAGCAAAAACTCTTTTAATAACTAATATTTTTGATCTTATTGGAGGATATTTCTCAAAATTGGAGAATATTCAGGTTTACAAAGATTTCATCAAATATTGTAAATCTTACAATGTTTTTGTTACTTAAAAAAGTTGTGAGTATTGTATATACTTATAATAAAAAATATAGTTTAAATTGTACAATATATTAAAACATTCTTTATCATTAAAATTTGCTATGAACTTCTATAATATGTAATTTTCTGATTTAATTACATATAGTTTAATCTTCAAAACAAAAATATTTTGTTTTTTCAAAATCTTGCTTTAGATGATTTTTTAGCTATTGCTTTTTTGTTATCTGTAAACAAAAATATCATTATATTTATATATAAAATAAAATCTGTTCTCTGTATAATACTAAACTCTGGCTGATCTGGACCAAATTTTTCAGGTTAGTTATATTTTCAGGTTAGTTAGAGAGACTAGCATGAAATCTGAAACCTCCTAATTTCCTTGATACTTTGTGATAATTTAAGTTTAATACATTATTATGTAAGTAAGAATGATAATTAATGAAGGTGCCATGCAATCCTTGAATCATATTCTTGGGGTATGTCCTGCATGGCAGTGTTCAGCAACCATGAGCGGAAAGAATCTTTGTATGTACATTTAACTTGCGAGCGACTTCTGTCCAGAGTGGATGCATGTTGTTTACAAAATGGGGCAAGACAACTTAATCAAATGCTTGATACGGAAAATATGACAAGCATTAAAACAGTAAATTTGACAGGTAATTGTTATCACTAACTAGATACACAACAAATATAAAGAATCTTCATAGAATAATAAGTTAAAAAAAGTTTTATTTTTAAAACATTACATTTACAAAATCAGAAATCATTAAATTACTCTAAAGATGATTAATTAAAATGCCTACAACATATATATACAGTGGTACAGTACCTCAGGATACGAAATTAATCCGTTCCAAAACTGAGATCGTATCATGAAAATGTTGTAAGGTGAATCATTTTTCCCCATACGATTACATGTAAAACCAAATAATTCGTTCCAACATGGAAAACACACTCAAATTAAAGCTAAATAGTAAATTGAAAAAAAAAAAAAAAAACCATAGTAAGGAAAACACTGAAAAATTGTTTTGTAGTTGTAAATGTATAAATAACCATAATAGAATAATAATTGATAAAAAAAAATGTAGTTTATTTGCACTTTACCTTTGAGGATAGATGATGGTGGAGGTGTAAACTGATGGCGGAAGAGAGGGAGAAGGATAATGATATTAAAACTTAACTTTCATAACATAATATAACAATAACTTAGAAAAGATTTAAAAAAAAACAGTGTTGTTTTATATATATATATATATATATATTTAAATTTTTATTCACTGCTTTTTGCTTTCTTTCCTTCACTTCCACCAGCACTTTCACTGGATAGAGGTCGCTTGGTAAAATATCTATCCAAAGAGGTTTGGCTTTGCCTACTTTTTAAAATGTTTCTAAAATGACTTAGGCAAATGTCATTACTCCGAGCAGCAATACAGCCACTGTGAACCTTTTCGGGATGTTTCTTTTCAATAAAATTAGTCACTTTCTGATAATACCTCAAGATTTCCTTTATTGAGTGAGATCCACGACGAAGCAAACACGCAGACTGAGACCAATGAACAGAAGTAAATAAAAAATGGCACTGCGAACTAATGTAACGTCGTATGGTGAGTTTTTGTTCGTATCGTGGAGCAAAAATATGTTCGAATTTCATGTCGTATCCTGAAAATTTTGTATGCTGGGGCGTTCATATTTTGAGGTACCACTGTACATAATTTATTTGTCATTCTGTTTTCATTCATCTACAAAATCAGCCATTTTCTTCTTTGGAAGCATGAGCAGTGGAAGCTGTGATCACATTTGCTTGGTAGCTGTTTTTTGCATGTGTGTATAGAATTGTCATCTGGTGCTTGCTGCACGCTAAACAGTTACTCCGGACATGCACATTTACTTGAACCAGTTTGTTCACTCCACTTGGAAGCACGTTCAAGCTCGTGGTAGCTAGATGCTGCCACATAGGATGTACCCTTAGTGATCACTTCAAAGAATATAGGGTTTTCTTCTGAATTTGGAAGCTATGCTAAAATAATGCTGTTGATTTGAGTTGGTTTAAAATAACCAAACCTGTAATGATTTTAATTTTAATGTTTGTCCTTATTACTCTTTGCTCAAGTTTCTTGAGCAAAGAGTAATAAGGACAAACATTAAAATTAAAATCATTACAGGTTTGGTTATTTTAAACCAACTCAACTGTGGGAATATCTTCTAGTTTAAAAGAAAATTAAAAAGTTCTCAGCCATTCCAAAATGATGATGTCTTTTTCATAAATATCGAAAAATTTAATATTTTTAAATGCTTATAAATTGAAATTAGTCAAACAATGTTGTCACATGGTTTTCTACAGTTACTCTATAATCATTGATTTTTAATTTTCAAAGTACTGTGATATTTATTTTAATAATATAAAGTTAGTCAATAGAAAAGAAAGCTTAACCCAGCATTGGTCAGGTGATCAAAAGCTACAACAGCAGTTAAATGTGGTTTAATTAATTAATTAAGTAAATCCAACTTTTTTTTAAAGTTTGTCAACCTCAATTAACTTTTTGTGTGTTTTTACACATAAATATATGTACTTGTATGATTAAAACATAACATACACTTTTATAATATGGTTATATTCATAAATCTTAATAATTTTTACTTGTGTACTTTTTTTGATTAATGAAACTCAGAATATTATAGGAATTACTGATAAAATATATTTGCAAAACTTTAATATCAAAATTTAAGCATGTAGACACACGCTGAAATTCCAATAATCATCAATTAATATATATTATAAAGATAAGTCTACAATGTGTGTGCCACTAAAACTTAAAAACAAGTCCTGGTACAATCAAGGGCGTTATATGGTGTGGTAGCCATCTATCCCCCATCCATGAAGAAGGTTCCCATTTTACCTGAAGGGCATGCTGTTGAAGATATAAGGGCTGGAAGTTAAGGCTTACCCTGAAGAACTTGGCTTCTATTGTACTATTTTTAGATATGATTTTTTGCGTTTTTGACTACGTTTTAGTAGGCTATCACATTTAGTAAGGTGAAAGAAGTGTATTCCTTAACAATGGAAGTGTTAACATGGAGTGTTAAAAATGGAAGTGTTAAGAGAAAGCTGCGTGCAAGTTTTACAAGCGCAGATGTGGTTTTTTACATTTTTGCAGGAAATCAAACATATTTTTAGACCAATGTAAAAATTCTCTAATTAGTCTGGAAACTGGGAACCTAATTTTTGCATTCTGTGAAAATGGGTAAGATTGGCTATAATGTAATTATCTTAATCTTTGCTATCATTACTTTTTGCCCGAGCAACGCCAGGCTCATCTGCTATTTTTCTATAAATGCGATATTTACGAGAACATACTTCCCATGTAATTTTTTATATCCGTTGCAAAATATAAACACTGTTATCATATAAAAGCAATTATTATAGCATTTTTACAAGATTTTTTTTATTTAAACAAGTCATATGAAGTCTTTCGAACATTAAGGTTAGCAATTTCGATCACGTGTGGGGTATCACAACCTCTCTAACAAGGATTACTTTTCAAATATTAAATAATCAAATTGTTTATATGGATTTGTTTTAATGTTTGTTATATTGTAATGTTTGATTTTTAAACTACAAAGGTTATCTTAGGTAAGGGTTTATCACACCGAGTGACCAATACACACATTTTAAAAATTCTTTATTCCTCTACTATACACAATTTAAAGAATTTTTAAAATGTGTTAGATTGATCACTCAATGTGATAAACCCTTACCTAAGATAACCTTTGTAATTATATAGGCCTAAATCAAAT